TTGGAATCTTAGCTTTCGAATGAGACCAGGATCATCTTGCTACGATTTTTCTGTGCGAAAATATTGACGATTATATCGACTCGCGATCTCGATCTCGGGACAAAATTAATTTTATTTTCGGAATTAATCAACGATTACTCATAAACTAATGAGCCGAGATCAGCAATTCTCATCTCGTTGAAAGCGCTGGAATCTTAGCTTTCCAACGAGACCAGGTTTATCTTCCTACGATTTTTCTGTGCGAAGTTATTGACGATTATATCGACTCGCGATCTTGATCTTCATTCAGAAGCAGCAGACGGCGCGTATACGCGGCGTCTCGCGCGGTGTCTGGCGCGGCGGTGTTTACTACTGAACACATGTGTCTCGTATGTTTTTATCCCAGTTTTTTGGGGACGTAGTACGCTCGCGCACTACTTGCGTAAAACTCGCGCGGCCTTCCTTCATGAATGGTGCGCGCGCGCCCGATTTTTAAAACGCTATAACTCTGCGAAAAATCGACGTAGCGACACGAACCAAAAACCAATCTTCTTCGTTTCGCATTCCGCAGATGTCTATGCTGAATATGTATGCCCTTATCATGAAACTTACACGCGGCAATAGAATTAAAATTTAAATTCTGAAATATAAATTATACGTATAACTGCTAAATATAAAAATTGGCTGACAAACTATATTAGACTGTATAGCAACATTGCCCAATAAAATTGTAATATTGAATATAGAATAAAGGCTAATGTAACGCCAATGTTACGTATCAATAATTGCACGGTATTGCATTTACATTATTTCTCAATACTACGCCAATACTTTGTGCTATCCGGGCTTTATCGACACTTTATATTATAATTCAACTACAGGTTTAATATTTTTATTTTCATTGCAAAAAAGTAACTGCAAAGTAACGATTCGTTACTTTTTGAGTAACTGTAACGCGTTACTTTTCAGAATTAGTAACTTGTAACCGTAATTAGTCACATTTTTAGCGAAAAAACTGTAACTGTAACTAGATACTTTTATAAAGTAACTTTCCCAACCCTGCTATAAATGTCTAAATGGAAAGTCCAGCGTAGACCATCGAAGGTCTACACGGCATTCAACATGTGGATGTCGGAGAGAGTTGATTTATGTAATGTGTATACTTTTAGGTTTCCAACTTATTATAGCATTGAAAACGCATGATGTTGTGATGATTACTAAATCTATAACAGTGTTGATCGCTCTGCTGTTACAACTGTTCTTCTATAGTTTCGTGGGCGATTATCTCAAGTGTCAAATGGAAGAAGTCGCGGGCGCGATCTACGCCAGCAATTGGCACTGTTTGCCGATGAAAGTAATGAGAAACGTTTTATTTGTCATTATGCGGTCGCAGCAACCTGTTCAAATGTTAGCTGGAAGATTTTTTGTTGTAAACATCAAGACTTTCATGGCCATATTAAGAAGTTCCCTTTCGTATCTATCTGTTTTACGAGTGATGATGGAGACGTAAGATGCGGATAATTATATATGCGGATAATTATAGTATTATGTGGAAAACTCGAAAAGAAATACCATAAGCAATGCCATTTTGTACGTACATTGTTCTTAACGCACGGCACCGGCGCTGAATTGGATTGAATAAATAAATTAAAATAAATAAAATATCATTTCATGACATCACTAAACATTGCGCATCACTGTAACACTTCTCTGTATCATCTCTTCACTGTCACACATCAAATCGCTGTAACATTTCTTCAAAACATTCTTTAACCACGCGCTGTAACTCGCAACTATGAAAATGCGATTGTTGCATGTTGCATATATAATTTTGTAAGTAAGTAAAATATTAGCAATATGCTGACAATGTGCTAGCAGATTTGAATAGAATATTGCAGCACATTATAACCAACTGCGCTTGCAGCAAACTAACAGATTTTGTCAATATAATTCGACAACAAGTTGCTATCAGAAATCGAGTAGAATTACTTCTGTGAGAAAACCCAGTGAAACTTTGCTAATGTTTATAACAATATATTGAAAGGTCTAATTTGGGATTATACGCGCGTGATTGGGATTTAATTGGGATCTTATCAATTTCGCACATGTGCGAGAATATACATATTAAAGAAGAATAATAAAAAGAAATAATAAAAAGAAAAATAACCCATCCAAATTTTGACAAATGAAAAAAATCCAATTATTTCGTACATCGTCTTAGATACTCCATCAAAGTGATCTGTATTGACCACTTTACCCCCTCGTATACAGTTTTCCTTCGTCGGGCCAGTTGGACCTACCTTTCGTCGCTCCTGGCCACACAGTCTGGTCATTTTGACCAGAGATGAGGAAGGAAGAAAACTCCTTCCTTAATCGATTTATTATCGTCACCGACAGGTATTTTGTACGGTTTGAACTTTATGCGAGCGCCGATCGTATCGAAAAATGCATGCTAAGAGAAGTTAATTAGAGAAGAAAATTGATTTAAAAAATTTGATGTATAAAACTGATCAAATATAATTTACTTCCATTTTCGAGAATATTAACCGGTTCTTCGTGACTCAATTTTTGAACTCGAAATTTAAGTAGATATAGAAAATAGGAAAATAGGAATACCGTGCGCTGTTGGCTTAACTCTTCAGGGTACTTGAGCCCCTTCACCGCGACAAGGTAGTACCCGAGGAGGGGATTATCGATAAGAAATTGTGCCATTATGTGTATAAAAATAATTTCAAAAAATGAGTACCGAGCGTACGTAAATTAAGCCTGCTATTTAAAATTGTCACTCACCATTATATGAAGTCTCTTCATTACAGCTTCATTATTCTCGATTCAACACTCCCGATAACGCGATTGAAAGCGAATTAATTGTCATAATATGATGACCGAGATACTTTATTAAACACTGCAGAAATAAAACAATTTATTACGAAACTCTCCCGTTACATTTAAATTCACCGAGAAATTCAAACGTCGCGACGCGTCGACTATAATATTCATGTCAATTTCGCGCAGATACAATCGTAAATTGATTCTGCAGTAATTCATTGAACCAAGAAAGCCATTTAAAAATACACTTTAAATATGCTTGCTGTATAATTCGAGCGTGTAAATTTCGCGAGATACAAACGTAATTACATGGTCCACATATCACTGTATTCTGTTACTTAAATCACTTGATCCGCGCACTTCCACGTCGCAACGCACGCAACACTCACGAAAGTACAGTGGATAGTAATCACATGCCACTTTATATGACACTTCCGATGTTAACTGTTCCCGAGACTCTGCTATGTTGCAATGGAATTATCAATTGAGATCACAAAATTATGCGAAAGTACGCGACGCGATATGTATTTTCGGCATTCTCGTCGCATGTCTCTTTGATTCTCGCGACCGAATATATCGCGCGCGATACGTACTTACCGAGTAATCACTTTGATACACTCGCGAATCATTGAAAGTAACACTTCGTTGATTGTTCGGCAAATAAATACGTATTGTATGTCTTGCACGTGAGGCACGGGCGATAGATCCTACCGCTACGACGAACACTTCTGAACTGCGTGTCGGTTACTTCGTCTCGCGCGGTGACCTCGGCGAACAAAGCGCGTCACGCCGGCGTCAACAATTCCGGGAAATAAACCAAGAATTTTTCGTGGCAATTCGTTATCGATCGCCAAAATATTTTACAACTTTGATATTGATTTTTCGTGCAAATTTGAAAGAATCGCAACACCGATTTTCCCGATATGTTCCGCGTGACGTTAATGGCAACCACTGAAAATCGCAGTGGTACTCTCTAAAA